TATTTTTTTTATGGTTTCATAAATAATCCCTTTAGGGCGAATTTTGGCTACGTGTATTTTTCCCAGTACACTGTGTCAGATGAGCTTTTAACTGCAGAATACATAAGGAAAATTTTTTTCGTTTGTAAACCACATTGATTTTCTCAGGGTGCTGTAAATATGAAAGTAATCTTTGTATTACGATCTATTGAGGCTCATCCTTGGTGAAAAGTTTTTTTCAAAGCAAAGCCTGAAGTGTGTACTCTCTTATAAAAAAAAAAAAAAAGGCGTGTACACACAATCGCGAGGGCTATAAGCGCGCGTATAGCAAAACAGCGTACAGCGCAGCCCGCTTGTACAATTTTCAAGTATCAATTGTTGGCCAGAAATGACCGCTCAGTTAGGGTATATTTTAATATGTGCAACCCATTGGCGATATATATATGTGGCTTTCGCACTGCACTGCAAGGGTGTGTAATAAAGGAGGTGGGGGGGGGGGATATAGCACTGGACTCTGCCTCTTGGCATGTACGATGTGTGGATCCCTTTGGTCGTAGAGTTTACCACTTTTTATGTGAACCTTTGGAGGAGACCACTTGGAGTAGTTTGCATTGGGGGGCGGAAGTGCCTATTTGTAATGGCGATTAGGGTTCATACCCAGCAGTGCTGAGGGATGAGCTTTTAACTGCAGAATACATAAGGAAAATTTTTTTCGTTTGTAAACCACATTGATTTTCTCAGGGTGCTGTAAATATGAAAGTAATCTTTGTATTACGATCTATTGAGGCTCATCCTTGGTGAAAAGTTTTTTTCAAAGCAAAGCCTGAAGTGTGTACTCTCTTATAAAAAAAAAAAAAAAGGCGTGTACACACAATCGCGAGGGCTATAAGCGCGCGTATAGCAAAACAGCGTACAGCGCAGCCCGCTTGTACAATTTTCAAGTATCAATTGTTGGCCAGAAATGACCGCTCAGTTAGGGTATATTTTAATATGTGCAACCCATTGGCGATATATATATGTGGCTTTCGCACTGCAAGGGTGTGTAATAAAGGAGGTGGGGGGGGGGGATATAGCACTGGACTCTGCCTCTTGGCATGTACGATGTGTGGATCCCTTTGGTCGTAGAGTTTACCACTTTTTATGTGAACCTTTGGAGGAGACCACTTGGAGTAGTTTGCATTGGGGGGCGGAAGTGCCTATTTGTAATGGCGATTAGGGTTCATACCCAGCAGTGCTGAGGGATGAGTCGGAAAGATATTTCTCCAAGCATATATTATGTATTGGGGTGTGCTCGGCCTTTTGAGGGGAGACATATATACAAGTGGTGTTAGAAGTGTACATGATGTGCAAACAGGCACTGGTAGTGAAATAGAGGCGCACTTGTGCTAAGCGTATGGGCACACGGTTAACGGCTTTTACCCCCGTGAAGTGAACCCTTGACCTTTTCACCATGGGGTTCACCTGATCGTGTAAAGAGTTTTTGTCCCGCAACATAAAATCTGGCTTCAGTTTTGCGCTTTTTACAGCATACTTTGGAACACATTTTTACGCGCGCGATGAAGCTGGGAAAACAGAACATGGTGTGCTGAAATGTTGGTGTGGTGACTGGCTCAGCGTTGGTTCGACTTACGTTTGATCAGCTGGGCTTCCGTATCAGCTGATGATAATTTTTTTTTTTTTTTAACACCCGTATTCGTTTCATCGAGAGGGAGATGTAAGCTTTTGCTCAGGGTGAGATACCGAACAGGGCAACTCATTTTTTTGCAGATTTTACTTTTAAGCGGCACACACGTGGGCAGGAAATGTGAATAGTGAAGTTGGGAAGTACACCAAAGGAGTTCCTATGTAATAATGGAGAAGGTGACCCCATGGATGGACCTAATGTAACGGAGTTTAGTACACGAGAAGAGGCGCTCGCACATAGGGCGCAGCACTTTTTTAGCAGTTATCGGGCGGTTTTTTTGAAACAATGGGAACATTGCTTGGTCAGTATACGCTACTGCTATGATTGGAGTCAGCTAACTGCAAGGCGGAACCGGCGAAGCGTACACACGGATACTAAAGGGAAAGTTAACTGTTTAACCTTCCAAAGTAAGCCTAATTGTTAATACATAGCATTGTGCACTGTGATAGATAGACCTAAGGATGTATATGTTAGGGAATAAAATGTTTCTTGCTGTATTGTAGAAATGTATATATGGAGCCCTTTTTTTTTTTTTTTTGGAGCGTGTAGAAATAAGGTAGTTATCAAGGTTAGAGTGTGAAAAAATGTGCTTGGTTTAAGTGTATGTGTAGGGGGTAATGCATGAGGCGATTTTGTGTATACCGGTGTTTCACAGAGTGGTAATCCTCTCGTACAGTTGAAAGGGAAGATAAAGAAGAGGACAACTGTAATCATATGTACATAGTTGACAGGACTGACGGAGAAAGGAAGGGGGATGGATCAGGATGACAAAAAAAGGAAGCAGAAGAGTTTTCAAACCTTTTTGGCATCCTTGCGAATAACCCCAAGGTCATTGTGCCAATAACACTGTGTGAACGGCTCATCAAATGAGAAGAACTACTTCGAAGCGTGTCAGAAATGTAGAAAGCTTACTGCCGTTATAAGTGGGCACGAACTTTAATAATGCGAGAGTTGGAGTTGTTTTTTCTTTCCCCATTTTGCAAAATGGTTCGCACACCCCCTCGCCCTTTCTGGTCATAATTTTTAGGGCCATTTGAGTGGTGTTATTAGAAGTATGCCAACAAGTGTTGCGAGTATATTTAAGCGGAAGAAAGAAAAAAAAAAAAAATAAAGCAGGAATAGGGACTAAGGGTACAGCGCAAATGAACCCCCTTCGAACCACATGTGCGTCGGTGTATTTATTTTAAAAATGGCTAGCTGCGGAGTTATGTGAAGACTTGGAGTTACATCCCCCCTCAACTAAGCGAAATATATAATATATATATAATATACATAATATATGTAGGAGTACACTTTTAACCCGAGTTAGAAAGGCGCAGGGAGTTAAGGGAATCGTGAATTACGAAGAGGTACACGCCGCGGTTGAGCAAATTAAATGTCATTATACCCAGGGGGATACATTACATATATAATTCGAAAACAGTCAACGGTGGGGGGCCATTTTTTTTTACTGTTAAGAAGAGTGGTAATTTAAGAGCATTGTTTTGCCTACCATTTGGCAAAAACATATAGGGCCATAAACTAGGTAAGGTATAAAATACACGTATAATGCTGCTCGCTCATTCATTTACAAATATATTTCGTGCTTTTTTGCGTAACGGTTGGCACGAGAAAAAAAGAAATGGGGGTGCGGGTATTCGTTTAAATGGGGAAAGTATGCCAACCAACGGTACAGATGAGTTATGACTAGACCACCTGTTTTTTTTCCTTGTTTCAAAGGGGACAAAAAAATAAATGTAAATATATTATATATAATGTGCACGTAAAATATATATATTATTATATATATATGTAGTTACTGCTGATGGAACCGAAGGAGGAGCCATAAACTGTCAAAAGGGTACCGCACTTTACGTAAAAATGGCCCCACATAATTTAAAAAAAAAAAAAAGGAGTAGGCTCTATAATATTTGATGCCTGTGCTGTTGGAATAAAAAATATAACATAAGCAATAATTTTTTAAAGCATATATAATAATACCCATGTTGCTTTTCAGGGGTAAAAGAAAAAAAAATATTATGAATCCGACGCTGCATTAAACTAAAAAGTATCACATGAAATGCAGAAATTAATATTAAAAATTAATTAATTTAAGGGTCCTTTTTATAAATTTAAATGTACTATATTTTTTATGCACTTTTTTTTTACCACTTATTATTACATATTTGCTCTGCAAATTACACGGGGCACCCTTTTTTTCTGTATTTTTTTTTTACTGCGTGGTATATAGCTTTTTCCGTTATTTTTTAGTCCACCGAGTCATGTGAAAATAAGGCAAAGTGGATGTGATTGACGACACGTCACCAACAGCATCACTTTGCTTTATTTTTGTAGGGAAGGAAACGCTTGTTAATAGTTTTTATGACCCAATTTGCCTAAAATGCTGCACCCCTAGTTTTATTAATTTAATGTATTTGTTAAATTTTAAAGGGGTATATATTTTAAAGAAAAGGAAAGGAATAATGATTTAAACATGCAGTATGGGCAAAAGTAATGGACCCAATAATGAACTAATAGTTAAGAAAAGAGGTCCTGATTTAACATTTTTAAAAAAACTACGACAAAAAAATCACTATAATTTTTTCTATAAATTTTGAATTTTTTCTGTAGGGGGAATACATTTTCTTTTTTCCTTCAAGAAAATAGAAAAAGAAGGTTTTTCTAAAATTCTTATACTTTTGTTTAGTTATTTTAAAAATTAAGAAAAAAAAAAAAAAAAAAGCTTTTTTTTCAACTTTAATAAATAATAGAAAATAAATAATTAAAAAGTAAACAATAAAACAATTAACATAATTCAATAGAGCGCACACAAAATTAAAACAATACTTTTACAATAGTAACAGTTCAAAAGAAACATAAGTTTCGCTAGCTTATAAAAATAGATAAGCAAACAAATAACAATTACGAAAAAATAACAAAAGAATAAATATCAAAAAGTTGCAAAAGAAGGAAATACCAAATAAACAAAAGAGGTATATATTTAACCTTCCCACGTTTTACACATTATTTTGTCATAGTAGTAAAAAAAAAAAAAAAAACCCTTTTTAAATCAAACTGGAAAAAACTACTTTACCTATAGTCGTATGTTTTTAATATTGTTCCGTTTATATTTTGTTTCCGCCACATGTGCTTATTTATTGCAAACGTTATAATTGAATAGGAACGTCCTTTTCTCTACATATAGATATAGCTGAAAGCTAGAGGAAGTGTATATAGAAAACCTTCAAAGGCTTCGTACAAGTGTAGCGCCGTTACATATAATATATACGCGTTCTATATATATTTGCCTGGCTGTGTTGTGCTAATATTTTTCTTTCCCCCGTTGATAAAGTCCAAAATGAGTTCGTGCAATATCCCAATTATCGTCCTTCCCGGGACTGCATCTCCAGCTGATATTAAGAGATCCATCGGTATGAACAGGAGGACTGTAGCAAAATCCGATGGGAGGAAGAACAAAGGCAAGAGCAGAAAGAGCTTCGCTGACTTCAATCTGGCTTCCTTGCCATACAAACTGTTGTTCGTCTTTGGTGTTATCATTGTGTTGTTACAGGTGAGTGAAAGAGCATGACGGGCGGGGCAGTATCAGCTTTGAGCATCTGAGTAATGATGTGTTATTCAATTTTGACCCTTTGACCTCGGCATCATTGCTTGCATATGTGTATATACTTATACGATGAAGTGTGTTACCTAAGTGTAATTATTAATACAATCTTACCCAGTGCCTGTGCTTTACCTATTTCCCTCACCCATTCCCTAACTCACTTGGTATCCCTTTACTTTACCCTCTTGTTAGAACGACACCAACTGTTCCAGGTTAGAGGTTAGCAGAAATGGCAGATCCTTAGGTGAGTACTTCAATGAAGATTGCTTTGACTGCGATGCAAGAAGAAAAGAAGACAGCAGATGGCAAGAGGAGGAGGAGGACGTGTATAACCCAAGAATAAGAGGTGCTAACCAAGGCAACTATGATGAGAGAGACACCGAATATCGATGTGATCCAGATGATAGGAATTCTTGTAGTAGATTTAAAACTGGAGCTGAGTGCGCTGATGAAAGGGATGATGCTACGCATCACGTTACATCATCTCCCGACAAAACTGATGATGATAACACTAGTAGGGATGACGACAACAAGGTTGTTTCAAATTCTGAAGTACGAGATAACGATCGCAGTAATCCCCTGTCCACCATAGAATCACCTGATAATGCAGACGCTGAACGCAGGGATGATAAGAATGATGTGATTAATATGGATAAGACACATGAGGACAAACGTGAAGATGATAAGGATGAAAGGCGGGATAGAGATGACAGGGATGACAGGGATGACAGGGATGACCAGCGCGATAGGGACGACAGGGATGACCAGCGCGATAGGGACGACAGGGATGACAGGAGGGATAGGGACGACAGGGATGACAGGAGGGATAGAGATGACAGGGATGACAGGAGGGATAGGGAAGACAGGAGGGATAAGGATGACAGGCGGGATAGAGATGACAGGGATGACAAGAGGGATAGAGACGACAGGGATGACAGGCGGGATAGAGATGACAGGGATGACAGGCGCGATAGGGACGACAGGGATGACAGGAGGGATAGGGATGACAGGAGGGATAGGGATGACAGGCGGGATAGAGATGACAGGGATGACAGGAGGGATAGGGATGACAGGCGCGATAGAGATGACAGGGATGACAGGAGGGATAGGGACGACAGGGATGACAGGGATGACAGGAGGGATAGGGATGACAGGCGCGATAGGGACGACAGGGATGACAGGAGGGATAGAGACGACAGGGATGACAGG